TTCACTTGCTTCTATTCTGTTATGTTGTTGTTGTTTCTTTGTGTTTGATATCGAAGCTGCAGTCGGACTTTTCTCTCTCTTTCCACATATTTTATGCGCTTGAAACTACATTGATAACATCCGGAATTTTCTCCAGTTTGCGCCACCAAAAACGTTTTTCTGCTTATGTTGAGCTTTGCTTTCCAGTCAATACATCCATGTTCATACTACCATACTGTTCATACGTCGAAATGGAGATGAAGAGGGAATGGTTATCAGTGAAAGGTAAGTTCATCTCTTCTTCCTTCTTATATGGTTTGATATGTTGTGTATGTGTTGTTCTAAATTATTTCGTTGTGAATAAATATTTGAAATCAGAATGTCTTTGTGTTTGATATTGGAAAGAGGGAGGGGAAGCAGTCACGTTATGTTATGACGGTTAGAAGGACATATCTATATCGACATATCACAACACTTTCCATTTTCCCTCTGGATCTCGTGTTGGGACCAATAAAAAATTGAAAAAATTCCAAAAGTGTTTCAAATTTTAAACTTTTTTTTTTTGTTTTTTCTGTTTGTTTTTATTGTTTTTTTTTCTGTTTCGATGTTTTCCATCGTTTCTTTCCCTCGAAGGTTGAGGAGCTTCTCTTCGTGCTCCTCAGGCAGATCAGTTCTTTCCATTCTTCTTAAACACGTCGTTCGAATAAAAAAAATTGTGAATTTTTGTTCAGTTTGTAGAGAGTTACGGCGTATTCCGTGCTATCGTTGACATCTAATGCACCACCGCTATATGCGCTTCAGATTCTTAGAATGGAACGGGTGTTATTTCATTTTTTTAAAAAAAAAATAAGTTCCCGGCGTTGAATCAGTTCATTCTCTAAGTGTAGCTTTTCGATTGAGCGGTGATGTTGATCGAATTTATTTCACTCAATTGCTCCTATCTCAATCCAATCTCAACCGATACGCTCGATTTTTTTTTGTTTTTTACCCTAAATGCTCCTTCAACGATTTCTATGATCTCGCTTCTCCGTGCCACCTGTGTTGTTCTACTTTCCTGCCTTATGTTAACTTTTTTAAATTAACATCTTAGAATTATCATGAAAAGCTAGGCAGCTTCTTATAAGGTTCTTCCTTCGCAAGATAGCTTCGCTCACTACAGAGAAGCTGTGCCACAGGTAATGTTCTTGTTACCCAAATTGTTTATATATGATGTACTCTGCAGGTATATGGAGTTTGTTAGAGTTCTCCCAAAACTGTTGATGAGATAACGAACTTCGGTTTTGTGGTACGCAGCAATGACTCCCTCGATGATTTGGAGCTTCTCTTGAATCTTCTACCTTCACTTAAAGTCAAGCAAAGATGTTAATATATTCTTCTTCGTACCAGCAAGGTCTTTTCGGATTGAAAGGCACAGTCAAAAAACGGCTGATAGAAACGTAAGTTTGAGTACCTGTCGTTTATAGCTTATTGATGTTCAGAATAAAAACTGAATTGAGACCATGTTATCGGATTTCCGGCAGTGTCTCATTGTTTCTGGAGGTGACTCAAAGTTGTTAATGGCGAAATAAGTTGAGAACTTTTGAGTCTCCTGACGATTGTAATGTGAGTCATCTTCTATTTTCTGTTGTTAATTATCCCAATCGTTTCCATCAGGAGTTCATCCGTTGTTCACGTGAAGCGTTGATCCCTGTATTACAACAGATTGCTCCATCTCAAGATGGTGTACGGTGATACTCGACAAGTGACGGTACGTCTTTTAGAGTATACTTTGAGAAACCGAAAACAAGTGAAAACACATTAGGTTTGGAGAAGAGAGAAACTGAACTTTGATGATGCTATGTAAGGTGTTCATAGAAAAAGATGACGAAATATTTTGGGCCTTATATTTTCGTTCTTACTTGCATCACTATCAATTCTTATCTCGAAAATTCATACTGTTCAATTCAAAAAGGCAATCTCAAGATAAAACAAACCAATAGTAGTGAAAGATGAGTGCAAAAGTATGTATCATCTATCTATCTATGTGTGTATAAATGTGTCTATTTTACTCATTAGACTGATTCTCTTTTCTTCTTTTTTTTCAACTGATCGTTCATTACTATTGAGAGTTTATGAAGTGAAAGAGAGAAAGAGAGGAATTTCTTGTCCTCTCCACACCTTTTCCATTTATTCAAATAGATATCTCAGAATCATTCGGTACTCTCTGTGGCAAATGATCGAAACGCAATGTCTGATTAGTTCATGTTTAAAACTTTTGTTTGAAGTTTGTTAAGTATTTGAGAAGACTGAAAGCAAGAGATGAGAGCGAGACAGTGATGTGTTTGACCTGAAAAACACAAAAATTGTTCAGAAATTACTTTCCGCTTATTCAGATGACTCACGCAGCAACATCCCTGATAGGAAAAGAGATTGAAACTTATGTGTTTCTTGATTTCGAAACTAAAGGGCTATCCAAGACCAAGTCATTAAGTGATTCTGCTATCGATCAACTCGATCTAAATGTCAGCTTTGGGGCTGCATGGATAGCAAAAGAAAACGGTAATCCTTTCACTGATAGATACTACCTTTACTTGAATTATTTTAGAAAATGTTAAACAACCGAGAGTTACTGAGATCGGTATGGTAGCTGTGAAAAGAAGTGATTTTCAAGAAGCAGTCAGGAAGAGCGAAAACAAAGTGATTTTCAGTATAAAAACATATATGAAGGAGTTTTCAGGAGCAGCTCGATGATATCATTGTAGGATCTTTCCAACGTCATGTAAATCCTGAGCTTACAGGAGATGAATTGGAAAAATTTTTACGTAAAATAAAACAAAAACCCACAGTGCCTCTGAAATGTTTTGGAGAAGAGTGGCCCGCTATCAAAAAGTTCTTGGATGGACTCACTAAACCTCTTTGCATTGGTACATGATTAGTTAAGATTATTTCATTTAGTTTCATTACAGTGGCTCATAATGGCTCGAGGTTCGACTTTCCAATTTTAAGAGAGGAATTGAAAATAGCTAAAATAGATGTCCAAAAATCTTTAGGAGGAGTACTTGGTTGTTCTCTGTATGACAGTAATGTTTCAATTTCAGTACTACTTCGCAGACAGCCTGTATGCTTTCCGATCAATTGATCGAGACTATTTGGAACGTATCCGCGAAATTATGGGTTTTACGAATTCCACCAACAATAAAAATAAAAAAAAGAAAAAAGATGATGCTCATAGTGATTTGAACATCAACGACTGGCCTTTGGCTATCAAAGCTCGTTTCAAATCTTCAATCGAACGGTAGACTAATAGACAGTCCATCATAAGTATAGATGTTCAGAAAAGACAATGGTGATTGGAGCTTCAACGAGAAATCATACAAAAAGTTGAAGTTCAAGCTATTACCGCTTTATAAAGCTGTAAGTCATCGTATGTATTCACAATTTCAATCACATGCCTAGATCTTCGGCGGGAGATTTACAGCTCACAAGGCTGTTAACGACTGTAAAGCTCTACTGAAGGTGTTTACAAGTTTTTTTCCGCTGTTATTCATTCTTTCCAGTTATGCTGGGCGTTTAATACTGTGGATTACTTCGAGAAAGAGTCAGCAAAGATTTTCAAAAAAAAAAAAGAATAACATTTCCCTCATTCACTACTTCCTAATTTGTACTTTTTCATTTACTCCAAACTCTTTTTATGAGGTTTTATATCTACGATTTTATAAACAACTGAATAAAACTGAGTTTGTCACACACAACCGGTCTTTTTGTTTTTCTGCTTATAAATGATCAACGTCAATCCCGCTCATTGGCATATCTATCAAGTGTGTTTTGTGTATGTTCAGACCTTACCTTCGAGAACCAAGTAAGGCTTGCAAGGTTCTATTCTTAAGAAAGATAACAACCTCAAGTAACATTGATGATCACTGCCGAGGGAAAGGTGTTCATTAAGAACCGAGTTATTCTTCCTCGAGAAAGATCACGTAGCGTACGTCATACGATGTACGGCGCGGAAGTTGATAAGTACACGCGGAGTTTCACGTTTCACGGCTCTCACGGGCCAGATCCCTA